TCATTTCTGATTTTGTTGATTTGGATTTGCTCTTTCTTTCTTTTGGTTAATGGGGCTAAGAGTCTGTCTATCTGGTTTAGCTTTTCAAAGAACCAGCTCTTAGATTCATTGAGTCTTTGTATTATTTTCTTTGTTTCTATTTCATTAATTTCTGCTCTCATTTTTGTTATTTCTTCTCTTCTGCTGGCTTTGGGTTTCATTCGTTCTTGCCTTTCCAGTGTCTTGAGTTGCCGTGCTAGGTCATTTATTTGGGCTCTTTTTGATGTAGGCACTTAGAGCTATAAACGTCCCTCTTAGGACTGCTTTTAATGTGTCCCAGAGGTTGTGTTGTGTTGTATCATCCTTTTTGTTGAATTCCAGGGATTCTTTTATTTCTTTCTTAATTTCTGCTTTGACCCACTCATTGTTTAGGAGTGTGTTGTTCAGTCACCACAAGTTTGTGTAGCGACGAAGGCTTTTTCCAGTGTTGATTTTGAGCTTTATTTCATTGTGGTCTGATGAAATGCATGGAATTTTTTCAAATTTTTTTTGTGTTTGCTGAGGTTTGTTTTGTTGCCCAGTAGGTGGTCAATTTTTGAAAAAGTTCCATGGGGTGCTGAGCAGAAAGTGTATCTTTGATGCTTGGATGGACTATTCGAAAGATGTCTGTTAGGTCCATTTGCTGTATAGTATCATTTACCTCAGACATCTCTCTGTTTATTCTTTGTCCAGTTGACCTGTCTAATGGAGACAGTGGGGTATTGAAGTCCCCTACTATTACTGAGTTGGGGTTAATCTGTATCTTAAAGACCTGTAGTGTTGTTTTTATGAATTTGGGTGCAAAAGGAGTTTGGTGCATATATGTTAAGGACTGTAATATCTTCTTGGTTAACTGTTAGGTTGATCAGAATGAAGTGACCCTCCTTATCTCTTCTGATTAGTTTTACTTTGAAGTTTATTTTGTCAGATATTAGAATTGCAACCTCTCTTTGTTTTTTAGTGCCATTTGCTTGCAATATTCTTTTCCATCCTTTTATCTTAAGGTAGTTCCTGTCCTTGACGGTGAGATGGGTTTCTTGCAGACAGCAAAGAGGTGGATTGTGTTTCTTAATCCATTCACTTAGCCTGTGTCTTTTGACTGGGGAGTTGTCCATTGATATTTAAGGTTATTATTGAAAGATGTGTATTGGTTGTTGTCATTTTGATTGCTGCTTGTGTTCTCTGTCTAATTTTGTGTTTCTTTGATTATACCTTTATTTTCTTTCTTTATCCCTGGGGTATAGTTGTTTCTCTCTCTGCTCTCTGTATTGCTTCAAGTGTTCTTTGAAGGGCTGGTTTTGTGGACATGTATTCTTTCACACTATTCATGTCATGGAAGATTTTTCTTTCCCCCTCAACTATAATAGACACTTTTGCTGGGTAAAGTATGCTGGGATGGCATCTATTGTCATGTAGAACTGGAAAAACCTTGGTTCTTCTGGCTTTCGTAATTTGCATTGATAAGTCAGCTGTAATTCTGATGGGCTTTCCTTTGTCGTGACTTGTTTTTCTTTTGCTGCTTTCAGTATTCTCTCTTTGTTCTGTACATTTAGTGTTTTTACTGTGATATGAGGAGTTTCTTTTCTGATCCTATTTGGATCCTATTTGGTGTTCTATGTTCTTTATTTTTATAGGGATGTCTTTCCTATAAAGAGAATTTCAGTAAATTCTCTTCTACAGTCCTGTTCAAGATCTGGTCAGTACCATTAACTTGAAATTCTTTTTCTTCCTCTATTCCTGTGATCCATAGATTTGGTCTTTTCATAGGGTCCCACATCTCTTCTATATTCCATTCCTGTGGTTTTTTAAAAATTTTCCATACTCTTTGCTTGAGTGGTCCAGATCTTCAGCTTTATCCTCCGGTGTTGATACTCTTGTTTTCCATCTCATTCATTCTAGAGGTGAGGCTTTCCCCTGTTGTTTCAAGTTGGCTTATTGAGTTTTATACTTCCTTCTTTACTTCTGCCTGAGTTTTCTATCTCTTTTATGAATTCATTTAGAAGTTTATCCCTGTCTTCTTTTAGTTCTTTGTTTTGTTTGTTCATGTGTTCTTTAAATTTGTTCATGTGTTCTTTAAATTTGTTGAATTCCTTGATCATGTTTATGATTGTTCTTTTAAATTCAATGTCCTGAGTTATCTCTAGGGAGTTTCCTTGTAGAACTTTTCTACAGGAGTGGTGGAGTTTGATGGGGATAGAGTGTTTTGACTTTCCATTTTATTATTCTTTCATTGTGATTTTGGCCTGTGAATTTCTTTTGTTTATGATTCTGATATGAGAATTAAGTTGAAATGCTTCTGTTTGTATTATTGGGGTATCCTAGATCCTTTCTTTATTGGTTATGTAAAGCTGGTTGGTACAGGGTTCAGGTTCTCTCAGGTTTAATTTGGAGGGAACTGATTGCTTCAGATCAGCTGTTCAGGAGTACCCACAGAAGCCCACTCAGGTTCCAGGCAGGTACACCCAGGCTTCCTTCACCACGTGGAGGCAGGATCAAGGGGCTCTCAGATAGTCCCTTGCGTTCTCAGGCCCTCTGCCAGAGGGAGGCCGGAACTCAGCACTCTCTGGCGGTCTGCTGAAATCCAACATTTCTTTATTCCAAAAGCATTTTTTGGTTTTGTCTTTTGAGACAGGGTCTTGTTATGTAGCCCAGGCTGACCTGGGACTTGTGTAGTCCAAAGTGGCTTCAGGCTCACAGTCCTCCTGCCTCAATCTTTACCCTTCTCAAATTACAGGTGCTTTTCACCATACTCAGCTTTTTAAAAAAATGTGTATGAGTGTGTTGCCTACATATATGTAAGTGTACCTGTGTCGTGCATTGCCCATGGAGGCCAGAAAAGGGTGTCAGATCCCCTGGAACTCGAGTTACAGACGGTTGTTAGCCCCCATGTGGGTGCTGGGATTCAACCCCAGGTCCTCTGCAAGAGCAACTAGTGCTCTTAACCACTGAGCCATCCGTCCAGCCCCCATATTCAGCTTTAAAAGCAATAGTTTTGTTTTGTTTTAGAGACAGGATCTCCCTATAGTCCCAGCTGACCTGGATTTCACAGAGATCCTCCTGCCTCTGTTCCCAGGTGCTGGGACCAAGGATGTGTGCCACCACAACCAGCCTTAAAAGCAGTTTTGTTTTGTTTTACATTTTATTTATTGTGTGTGTCTGTACGTGCACTTGCCGTGGCACACAATTCAGAAATTGATTTTCTCCTCCTACCATGTGGTGCTTTGGGTATGAACTCTGGTCATCAGGTCCCTTAACCCATAGAGCCATTATGCTAGCCCTCTAAAAGCAATTTTTAAAAACTGTCCAGGTTGGTGAGGTGGCTCAATGGATGAAGGTGCTTGCAGCCATGCCTAACCATCTAAGTTAGATCCCCAGGACCTACATGGGGTAGAAGGAGAGAACAGACTCATGAAAATTGCCCTCTGAGCTCCATGTATGCTAATGTACACCCCTTCACATACAAAATATACGTTTTAAAAAAGTGTCCTGCTGGGCCTGGTGGTGCGTGCCTTTAATCCCAGCACTCAGGAGGCAGAGGCAGGTGGATCTCTGTGAGTTTAAGGCCAGTCTGGTCTCCATAGCAAATCCAGGCCAGCTGTGGCTACAGGGAGACCCTGCCTCAAAAAGACCAAAAAAAAAAAAAAAAAGTGTCCTTTGCTCATTTTATGATTTTTAAAAGATTGTGTGTGTATGTGTGTGTATGCATATGTGGATATGTGTTTTTAGTAGTGATGACTATTTTAATGTAAAAGTTAACTTGTATTTTGTGATTCTTTTTTTTCTCCCCTCGTGCTAGGGATCAGATTTGGGGCCTGGCACATACTAATGTATTTTGGCCTGTTTTTCAGAACTAGTGTAATTTACTTTGTGCATTGCTTTATTCTATTAACAAATTCAAAATTTGCTCATTATGGTGGTGTATGCCAGTACTCAGGAGGCAGAAGCAGGTAGATCTCTTTAAGTTCAAGGCCAGCCTGGTTTACATAGTTCCAGACCAGCTGGGACTACACAGGGGTGCCCTAGCTCAAAAAAAGAAGAAGAAAATAATAATAATAATAATAATATATATATATATATATTATCTCACAAATTTAAGATTCTTATTTTATAGTTTAGACTTTTGCCCCAGCCATGTGTGGTGGTACATGCCCTAATCCCAGCACTTGGAGGCAAAAGCAGGCATATCTCTGAGTTCAAATCCAGATAGGGCTATATAGTGAGACCACTCTTGTCTCAAAAAAACCCTCAAGTATGTAGACTTTGCCCCCATAAAGATAGGTGTTTAAAAAATGTATGCAAGTCTGCTTTTTAGAATGAGTGAACTTACTCGGTGTGTCCGAATTTTAAAGTTGCTTTGTGACCTGATCTAGGCTTGTTCTAACAGTGGAAAATCTTTATATTTTATGTCTTAGATGGCACCTATCAAAAGGATATAGGATCATGGCAGCAGATGATGACAATGGTGATGGACCAAGTTTATTTGATATCTTTTCTGGTAAGAGCTTTCAATTGTCTTTCTGAATTTCTTCATTTTTTAAGTTTGGTGCTGAGAATTGGAACCCAGGGCTTTGCAAATGCTAAGCATGTCCTCCATCACTAGGCTGTATTCCTAACCTCACTTATTATTTAAACTACAAAATAATTATTTTCAGGGCAGATTGTCATCAACTTTTTCTCCCTGTATATAAGTGAATTAACTCAACAAAGTATTTAGAAAATAGGGAGTACTTAGCAAATGTGAACCTGTTTTGTTTCTTATTGTTTTGTTTTTACAGTGGTGAGGATCAAACCCAGGGCCATATACTTGGTTGCACAAGCACACTACTACTGAACTATGACCCTACAATTTTTTTATTGGGGTGGGGAAATCTCACTGTGTTGCTGAGGCTGTATTGGAACGTTCATATCATCCTTCTGCTTCACACTCTCAGTTAGCTATAGGTACAAATCACTGCACTTGGCTGAACTTTCTTCTCTCTCTCTCTCTCTCTCTCTCTCTCTCTCTCTCTGTGTGTGTGTGTGTGTGTGTGTGTGTGTGTGTGTGTGTGTTTCTCTGTTTTGAGACAGCATCTCCCTGTAGCCACAGCTGGCCTTGAACTAATATTTAGATCAGGCTGGTCTAGATCTCACAGATATCCACCTGAGTCTGCCTCCCCAGTGCTGGGATTAAAGGCGTGAACCACCACACCTAGCCTACCTGAGCTTTCTTATTATAATAAAAGCTTTTAAGCATCTAAATAAAGTCAAGGTAGCAATTTTGCCAGTATGAATGGTAATTGTTTCCATTGTCATATCCCAAATAGGTATTTGTTACTTTTGAAGTAAATATTTCCAATAAATGAAGTTATACTTGTTCATTGTTGTTCAGGAAAAATTGGTAATCATGACAGATGATTAATTTGAAAATAAAAAGAACATGGGGTGGGGAGATAAAGAAAGAAAATGAAAACATCATTCCTGGATATGGTTGGACATGCTTCTAATCTGAGCACTTAGGAGGCAGGAGAATTGTGACTTCAAGGCCAGGTTGGAATACATAGGAGAACTTGTCTGAGAGAGTGAGAAAGATGGGGGTGGCGGGGGAGGGAGTAGTAAGGTGGGAGTTGGGGGAGAAAGAAAGGAGAGGGAGAGAAAGAGAGAAAAAGAGGGGGTGTAGGAAGGCAGCGAGCCAAGACCTGGTAGTATACTGAGCTCATAAAATATAATCTATACTTTTGGGAGTTGGCAGTGCTGGGAATTTAATCCAGGGCCTTGTGCATGGTAGGCAAGCTCTCTGCCACTGAGCTATATCCCCAACCCTAAATAGAAATAACCCAATTTAATTCTTTTATTGTATGATTAGGCTTTGGCCTTAATGCATTACTTTAGATTATAGACATATTTACTAATCAGATTTTTGACTGTCATTCTATAGAGTGGAAAGGACAATTAAAAATGTGTTTGGGGTCTGGAAGGATGGCTCAGCTGGTAAAGATGCTTGCTGTAACCCTTACAACCTGAGTTTAATCCATACGACTCACATTGTGGGAAAGAATTGACTCCCAGAAGTTGTCCTCTGACTTCCACATGAGGGCTGTAGTATGTGTATACCACATATAAACTCATACACACACCCAGGCACAGTGGCACATGCCTTTAATCTCAGTACTCAGGAAGCAGAGGCAGGAGGATCTTTGAGTTCAAGGCCAGCCTGGTCTACATAGAGAGTTCCAGGTCAGCTGGGGCTACAGGGAGCCTGTCTCAAAAAGATTAAAAAAGAAAAAAACAAAAACAAACTCATACACATACCCTCACAAAATAAATGAATGTTAAAAAAAGAACCATAAAAGCCTATTTTGTATAATTCTACTTTTAATTTCAAACTACAGTAAAACAAACAACCTTCGTTTTTCATGTAGATATCACAAATATTTAAATTTTATTGCACTATTAATTTTAAAGGTCAAAATTGCATTATTCTCTCTGGACTCAGGCTCTTGCACATGCTAGCAGGTGCTCTGCCACTGACCTACAGCCAAGCCTGTGTATTTAAAGACTAACGACAGAGCTAGCATATGTCTACTTTGAGTATACTTTTGAATTTCATTTTAATTTATGTGTTTTTTTGGACCTACTGTCTGCTTTATTTTTGGTGGTTGTTCAAGAAATTGTAATATTTGTCTTTAACGTTTTCTAGTGCAGTTGCTAACACTGTGCTTTCTCAATAAAATGTAGAGTCTTTTAGGGATCATTATTTTTATTCTCTATCTTGCTCTTTGTTAGGAATGTCAAATGTATGATGATTTAACCATGCTGTCTGTATATCGTAAACCCTGCAGTATAATGCTTTAATTTCTAATTATATATCTTAGAGGAATTAAAAACGTTGAAGGAAATAAATTTTCCTTTTATATTTAATTATGTTATCGTTTACTATTGCTAGTCTCTACCTTCCTTTAGTGTTACCATGGTATCACTTTGCCTTTGTCCTTTGTTCCTGGATTCCAGGTGTATATTATGTGAGAGCTTTTGATATTATCCTGTAGGATTCTTTTAGAGTTTTTAGTCCCTTTTTATTTTGGTTTTTGGATTTGGGTTTTTTTGTGTTGTTTTGTTTTGTCTTTTGCGACAGGGTCTCACTGTGTAGCCCTGGCTGGTCTGGAATTTACAGATTTGCCTCCTGAAGGCTGGAATTAATCATGTGCACCACCATACTCAGCTTTTCAGCCCTTTTAAAGTGATCCCTCCCCCCAAATCTGAAGTAGTCAAGTTATAAATCTCTATGTCAAAGTTTTTCTTTTTAAGCATATATAAAAACTTGTCTCTTTAGAGAAAAAAAATAATAAATTCCTTTCCTTGTCCTTTTGAGTAGGAATGAAAAAACTTCACTTCATAAGTCAGTTTTAACTAGTCTTTGCCATTTTTGCAGCTTCTCCTCTTAAAAACAATGATGAAGGCTCATTGGATATATATGCTGGGTTGGACAGTGCTGTTTCTGGTATGTAAGTTCCAAAAAATAGTCTCATTTTGGTAGATCAGTTCGAGCTTGTTTTATTGCTATTAGCGCCTAGTAACTTCACAACTCCTAAATAATTTGCCCAGTCTTTAAAATGATTTAACAGAGGCAATTACTTTCTGGCTCATAGCTTACCAGTAGAACATATTAGCACATAGTCATTCATCTAGGACTCAGGTTTAGTTAGACCTTGTGCAGAAGTATTCAGAACTGGGTCTGGAGAGATGGCTCAGCAGTTAAGAGCACTGACTGCTCTTGCAGAGGACCTGGGTTCAATTCCCAGCACCTACATGGCGGCTACGAACTGTCCTTAACTCCAATTCCAGGGGAATCCGAAGCCTTCTTCTGACCTCCTTGGCACTGCACGACATGGGTGCACTCACATACATGCAGGCAATACGCTCATACACATAAAATAATAAATATGGCGGATGGCGGCTACGAACTGTCCTTAACTCCAATTCCAGGGGAATCCGAAGCCTTCTTCTGACCTCCTTGGCACTGCACGACATGGGTGCACTCACATACATGCAGGCAATACGCTCATACACATAAAATAATAAATAAAATATTTTTTAAAAAAAGTATTCAGTACCATTGAAACGCAACTGGTGCTGTGGTCTATGCATACCACTGCTGCTTAATGCTGTTACTGATCACCTGATGTCAGAGCATTTGAAAAGTTCTGGTATGGTGAATGTTCTCACATGTATCAGTAAGAATGATAGTGGAATGTCTAGCAATATGTCTGAATTAGAACCTTTTCCATAATCATATCTTCCAGTGTATTGAATAGAGATGATTCTCATGCTTGATGCTTAGCTACAACTATTTTGCATAATCTGGCAATTCAGCCTTCATGAGGCCTTCACAGGCATCACATGCACGTGGTTCACTGATATACATGCCAGTGAAACACTCATATACATAAAATACAAATAAATACATAAAAATTTAAAAATCCTAAAACAAAATACAATGATAAACATGTATGAAATGTCATAAAGAAACCATTTTTATGCCTACTGAAATGTTTTAATAAAGCTATTGTACAGAAGACTCCTAACAAATATTTTAATATAAGTTTTTGTTTGTTTGTTTCAGACAGTACTTCTAAATCCTCTGTGCCATTCAGAAACTGTTTAGATTTATATGAAGAGATCCTGACTGAAGAAGGAACTGCAAAGGAGGCAACATACAATGACGTAGGGTTGCCACAATTGTTAAGAACAGTGATTCACTCTTGTAGCTCCTGAGAGCAGCACCAGTTTATTATTGAACACATATTCTATATTTAGGATCAGTTCTTAAATTAAGAGTATTTTATCAGTTTCTGCTTCCACTTTTTCAAGAAATATTTTCAGAATACTTGTCTAAAGTTAGTTGCAATTTTGACTGAGTTTAAGTATCTGAATATGTAAAACTTTAGTGGACTACTAAAGTAATGTGACTTTTATTTTTTCATAGTTTATACTAAATTTGTTACATAATGTGTCCTTATATGAGACAATTTTTTTCAACTGGGTATTTGAATATTAAGATTTGTGGGTTGAATATGAAGGTTATCAAAATACATCATTAGTATACTGAAAGCATTGTGGCACTTGTCTATAATCTCAGCACTTGGGAGGTCGAGGTAGAAGGATCAAGAGTTTGAGACAGCCTAGGCTACATAGAGAAATACTCTCTCATAAACAAAGACAAAACAAAAGAAGCAAAAGCAAAACAAAAACTGTAATCTGACTAAATACCTATCAGTGCATTGATTTTTCAATAATTTTTTTTTCTTTTTTTCTTTTTCTTTTTTGAGACCGTCCCTCTAGTCCCAGCTCATCTAGAACTTGCTATGTAGACCAAGCTGGCCTCAGTCTCCCAGAGCTCCACCTGCCTCTGCCTCCTGTGTGTTGGGATTAAAGTTTTCACAAATTTTTAAGTGTCACTTAAGCTAAGAAACTAGTGATACTCAAATTAATCCTTTCGTTTTGTTTTACAGTTACAGGTAGAATATGGAAAATGTCAGCTGCAAATGAAAGAGCTGATGAAAAAGTTTAAGGAAATACAGACACAGGTAGCATTGTGATTATTTTTTCCTTATTAACATTTGTATGTCTGTATATGTGTGTGTGCACATGCAAGGGTATCCGTGCACTTGTCTGGGCATGCATGTGTAGGTCAGAGGCCAACCTTCGGTGTTGTTTCTCAGGTACCATCCACTTTGTTTCGTTTTTTGAGACAGGGTCTTTCACAGACCTGGAGCGCAACAAGTAGGCTAGGCTGGCTGGCCAACAAGTTCCAGCCTCTCTCTACCTCCCCAGTCCTGGGATTATAAATATGTGCCACCATACCTAGTGTTTTTATGTGAGTTCTGGGGCTAAAACTCAGATCCTTATGCTCGCATGGCTAGCATAAGGATTTCCATCTGAGTCAGAGGCAGGCGGATCTCTGTGAGTTCAAGGCCAGCCTGGTCTACATAGTGAGTTCCAGGACAGCTGGGAATACAGGGAGACCCGGTCTCAAAAAGACCAAAAAAAAAAGTAGTTTCCCATTAAGTGTGCTTTTTTTAGTGCTGTTATCTTCTAATAAGGGAAATAGTAATTTTCATAGCACTTTTTTGAAAATTACATGCAATAAAATGTGTAATTCTTATCATTTAGTTAGTATTCAGTAATAGCAAGCTGGGCAAGGTGGCATATGCCTGAAATCCCAGCACATTGACGGCTGAGACAGGAGAATCAAAGGAGTTCAAGGCTTTCATGAGCTACCTAGCCAAAAACACCCCACAAAAAATAGCAGACATACATAGCATTAGTAATAATTTTGTTCATATGTACTCTATTAATATATTTTATTAATATGTTTCTTAGAACTTGAACTTAAAAAATGAAAACCAGTCTCTTAAGAAGAATATTTCAGCACTTATCAAAACTGCCAGAGTGGAAATAAACCGTAAGGATGAAGAAATAAATAATCTTCACCAAAGGTATTTCTGAGGGATGTAGGTCTGTCATCAGTTACATGGATATTGATTTGTGAAATATTTTTTACTTTGAGTTATAAGATGAAAGTGGTTATTTTATTAAATATTTAGGAGTTTTATGTCAATGGTGACTAATATGCTAATGATTTATAATGATACATATGATTACTAATATAACATTGCCACATACCTCTTTAATACAGCTTTCTAAAACATTGGGGTCTTGCTGTAGTTCTGTTTGCTCTGAGAAAATGATGGTATATGTCATGTATTCTGCTAGATCACTCCACATTACTGAGATATAAACAAGAGAGTAGGGCTGGGGAGGTAGGTGAGGTACAGCATGTGCCTAAAATGCCTGTGACCAAAAAGAAGCAAGATGGCTGAGCAGGTAAGGCACTTGCTGCCAAGCCTTATATAAGCCTGAGTTTGATCCCTGGGACCCATATGGTGAAAGGAGAGAACCAACTCCCATAAATTGTTCTCTGATTTCCATGTACATGCTGTGGCATGCTCACCCCCTACCCCACGAAAATAAATGTCATAAAAATTTTCACAAAAAGAACAAAGGAGGAATCTGCCCTTACAATGTTTGTTAATAATGAACCCCTCTCCGGTGGATTTTCTTTGTTAATTTGCTCCTTTTTCATTTTTTCAGTTGAGGGTGATATTCTACTCCAGGGTTTATAGACAAAATTTTTGGTGGTGGGGGGGACACTACAGATTTAAACCTGTTTCCATTTCTTCCCTTCTAATTTTTTGTTTGTTTGGTTTAGGAATAAGGTGTTAGTTAACTACATAAGCAAGGCTGTATAAATTTTTGACATGTCTCCTGAGTGATTTATCTTCCTGAGTGCTGGAATTGTAGCCATGCGTCACCACATTCTGCTTTATTGTTGTGGGGTTTGTATTTTTTTTTGTTTTTTGGGGTTTTTTTTTTTTTTTTGGTCTTTTTGAGACAGCTGGCCTGGAACTCGCTATGTAGACCAGGCTGGACTTGAACTCACAGAGATCTGCCTGCCTCTACCTCCCAAGTGCTGGGACTAAAGGGGTGTGCCACTACACCTGGCGTTTTGTTTTGTGGTGATGATGCTACAAGTTGAACCTGGGGTATTATGCATGCTACACAAGTGCTTTACTGCTGAGCTATGTCCTAGCCCTTTTTACAATTTTTTTTCCCTCGAGTGTTTGTGTGCTGAGATTATCTGTGTGGTGTGTGTGTGTGTGTGTGTGTGTGTGTGTGTGTGTGTGTGTGTGTGAATGTCTGCACACATGCATATTCAGATGCCCTGGAGGCTCTTCCTTCCACCATGTGAGTTCTAGGGATGGAATTCAGGTCTGCAAGTGCCTTTAACCACTGTGACATCTTGCCACAGCCCTCTTTTTACTCATTCTTGAACTCAGTCCAGTCTGACTTTTGCTTCCATTGGTTTACAAAAGCAGTTATTTTAGCTGTATGTCACTGCCACTAAATACATCAGTTTCTTGACTTCCTGTTTAACCTGTCTTCTTGTGTACTGTTTAACAGCTTACCCTCCTGTACTCTTTCCCTTTGGCTTTAGTGAGGTAATGATCTCCCAGTGCATTTACTTCTCTGTATTTCTTCAGTTGTTGCTCTCCATCCAGTCCCATCCAAACTGGCAGTAATCATTTTGCTAATGTCTCTGCATCCAGTTTTGCTCCTTGACCTCTGATTTGTTCTGAAATCTGAACATACTACTTCAGCAAAAGTCACCTTGCCCTCTTGTTTGAAACTCTATCAGTGGCTTTTCATTATTCTTAGGATTAAAGGTCATAAATTATCACATGGCCTACAGGTCCCTCGCAGTGTAGGTCCACCCACTTGTCAAGCCTGCCTGTGCTCACTTCTGCCTTAGGTGTCACAACTCTGACTTTAACACTTCCTTCAGGAAACACAGGTTCAGCCTTTGTATGTGTTGTTTCCACTGCCCAGACTTCTGTCCCTGCTGCTTGTCTCCTCATCCTATGGTTTTGGCTTACCCATCTTTTTGGCAGGAGGTACTTGTCTCTTTTCTCTGTCTAGGTCAGATTTCTCTTTGTAGCTTTATGTACACTTGGAGTTCTTCAAATCATGAAATAGATTTCCTTGATTACGGTCTTTTACTTTTACTACAGTGTAAGCTTCATGAGACAGGGAACATGTTTGCGTGCCCTCAGCATTTTGTTTTATTTGGACCTTTAGAAAATACAGACAAGGAAAAAAAAGATAAGAATGGTGATGTGTAGTTACTAACATAGTCATTTATCTCAGTGCACTTTGTGTTGAGGTTGGTTCCTGAATTGTTGGCGATGTTTTATATATGTTACCTTCTTAATTTGTTTGATGCGGCTATATATTATCTAATAAACGTCCTATGAAATATTGTACTATGAGCTATAACTAGTACTATGATAGTAATTATTTATCATGTGGTTGAAATTTAACATTTAGTGAAGCAAATTGAGATAGTAACATAAGGCGAGAATGAACAGAAAAATTAAGCATGTGAATACTGGGAAATATTTAATGTGAAGGTATATTTTGAATAAAACTTTGGGGGCCCACAAAATGGCTCAGCAGGTAAAGGCACTTGCCACCAAACCTGACAACCTGAGTTTGATCTCCAAAATCTACATGGTAGGAGAGAATAACTTCAGGAAGTTGTTCTCTGATCTCTACACATGCACCCACAGGTGTCTGTGTGTGCATACATACAGAATAAATGTGATTAAAATAAAACTTCTGGTGATGGTATTTTTTCTAGTATGGAACTATACTAAATATGTGTTATAAGCTCTATGGACTAGAATATCTTTTAGGAGCTTATAATTTATACATACACAATTTTTGTTGGGTAAATATATTGCAAAAATATCCCATTCTGTGACTTGCCTATTGCTCTTTTAATTATGTCTTTTGAAAAACAGAAATTCTATCTTTTAGCAAAATTCATTTTGAAGTGTTTTCCTTTTATGGTTACTGCTTGTTTGCTTTCGCGTTTCCCCAGTTGTGTCAGAGGTATCTTTCAATAATTGTTTTTCTAGTGCTGGAGATTGAACCCAATACCTCATACATGCAAGGCAAAAGCTCTTCCACTAAGCTACTCCTCTATCCCCTGATTATTTGAGTCAGGACCTGTATTGATTTCTTAATTTTTGTGTCAAAATAAGGTCATATAGTGAAATTCTGTGAGTGAAGACCTTAGCATGTAAAGTTGTTGGGGTAGGAGGGAGTGTACAATTTGACACATGACAACTAATCTAAAGTGTACATATTACTCTGGATTGTGTGTCTCTTAAATCTTCTTTTGCTTTTTAGCAGTCTTTTATTTCTGAAGTTTAATTGGGAGTTTCCACACATTTAATAATGATTAAGAGCAGAGTTGGGTTTGTTTGTTTGTTTGTTTGTTTGTTTGTGTTTGTTTGGTTTTGGTCCTTTTTGAGACAGGGTCTCCCTGTAGCCCCAGCTGTCCTGGAACTCACTGTGTAGACCAGGCTGGCCTTGAAGGAGCAGAGTTTTTAAAAGTCAGCATCATAGGACTAGAGATATGGCTCAGCAGTTAAGAGCACTTGGCTGCTCTTGCAGAAGAACCAGTTTTGGTTCTTAGCACTCACACAGTGCCTAGCAATCATCCATAACTCCAATTCAACAGGATCTGGCACTTTCTTCTGGCTTCCATGGGTATTGTACTCTTGGGTGCACTTACATACATATAGACAAGACACTTGTACACATAAAATAAAAATAAATAAATAGAAATTTAAAATGCCAGGCATAGTGGTGCACACTTTTAATCCCAGTGCTTGGGAGACAAAGGCAGGTGGATCTCTGAGATTGAGGCCAGCCTGGTTCACAAAGCAAGTTCCAATTGGGGATATAGGGAGACTGCCTCTGAAAAAAAAAAAAGCTATAATGAGCTATCTGCATTTTAAATTTTATACTTTGACAGTTTCATACATGTATATAATGAATTTTAGTCATTTTCATTCCCCATTACTCTCAAGTCCCCTCTCCCAATGAAGCCCTTTCCAACAAGTCCCCTTCTACGTTCATGTTGATTGCTTGTGTGAGCATGGGTGGAAGGTTACTCACTAGAGCATGAGTAACTTCTCAGTATCTACACCATTAAAAAAGAAACAGCCCCTCCTCCAGCCACCATTAACTGTCAGTGGCCCCTCAGGGAGAGGTTGGGACCTCTTTGATGAAATAATGTTAAGCCCAATCTTACATAGGTCTTTTAACCACAGCTTCAAGGCTATCTTTATTTTTTTTTTAATTTTTTTTATTCTGCGCGCGTGTGTGTGTGTGTGTGTGTGTGTGTGTGTGTGTGTGTGTGTGTAGGCCTATGAACAACCTGTGGGCATCAGCCCTCTCCATCAGGAAGGTTTATATATTGTATCACTAGGAAAAGTACTGTTTTTTCAAAACACTAATAAAAATTGCAAAACCTGGACTTTTTTAAAAACAGGTCATCCTCCTAAGGAAAGAACCAGAATTGTATGGTCCTTTTCAGTTTTGTACATTATATACCACTATAAGGTGGCTATTGATAATTTACCTTGCAACGGAATTGTATGTGGAACAGAAAATGAGAATTGGGAATTTTTTCATAGTTTACTTTGATATCTTGTCTAGCAAGGTTTATTTTTCTTTCTCAGTCAAGTTAGAATGATTGAAGTGTTGGAAAACAAAATCACATGTCCTAAAAGAATTGTACTTATGCTTACTTTAGGATACTTAGGGGGTTGTATACCTTTGGTAGGTCCAGAGAGATTAGCAAGTGCTGGGATAGATTTCCTTTGAAGCAAATGCAAATGAGAGAATTCCTGGTATTGTGAGAGTGAACTCTTTTAGTTGGAAACTGATAAATTCTATTTTTTTTTAATGCAGGGCCTCCTACCTATTAAGCAAGTGCTCTATCCACTGAGCTGCATTTCCCCAGCCCTAATTGCTTGCTCATACTGGTTTTCCCAGTATGTAGGCCCATAAATTTTAAGGCATCATATGTGAGTAAAATCTGGAATATTATTAAATATCAATTAACTTTGCTTTTTTGTTGTTAATTTCTATGTCTTAATAGATTGTCTGAGTTTCCACATTTTCGAAATAACCATAAAATTCCACGGACATCAGATGTAGTTAGAACAAAAGATCTAAGATCCAGATCTCCCCATTTGGATGATTATTCAAAGACTGATCATAGAGTTAAAAGTGATGTTTCCAAAGATGTGTATCCTAATACTTTACTGCCAAACCTGGAAAAGGAAGGGAAATCAAATTCTGAAGCACAAAATCCTTTGCACTTGCCGGCATGTATTGAGAAACATTGCCTCAATGGTGTCTGGTCACATTCTCCTTACCAAGTTGGTGAAGGTAACTCCAGTGAAAATACTAGAAGAGGGCGGAATGATACTCGACATAGCCAGTATAGCAGAGGAACTGATAGAGCACAAAAGGACTTAAATAGTAGCTGTAATGATGCTGAACCAAAGAACAAAGAGACTAATCCAAGACTACAAGGAAATCCTGAAAAACATGGAAATGCTGAGGCAAAGACTGAAAGCAAAAATTCAAAGTTTAAAAGTAGCACAGATTGGGATTATAGAAGTGAGCGTACTACCTCTTCTTGGGAAAAAGAGTGTTTTAGAGAAAGGACACATGCTCGAGTGGAATCTCAAAATGACAAAAGTCTAGAGAGACAAAGTGAAAGATTGCAAAATATAAATAGAAAAGAACTTCATTCACAGGACAAAGCAGAAAGAAAAGGTGATTCAAAACTTAAAACAGTAGCAAAAGACCAGGAGCACTGGAAAAGATCTGAACGAGCATCACTTCCTCAGTCTAAGAATGAAATAAAATCTTATAATTCCAGTAAATACCATCCAGAAGAGAGAAGAGGAAGAGAAGACAGTAAAAGAGACAGAGGAATAAGCAGTCATGGCTTTCAGAATGGAAGATGTTCATCTTCTCTTTCAAGCAGTAGAAGTAACAAGTACATGCACTCCAAGGACGTCAGTGTTATACATCAGTGGGAACATACTCCTTTCAAAGCAGAAAGGCATAGAACTGAGGATAAGAGGAAAAGAGAACGAGAAAACAGAGAAGAAAATAGACATATGAGAAGTGACAAAAAATCACCTACAGAACATATGCAAAAGACTAATAAAGAAGCTAAGAAAACCACTGCTGATTTAAAGAGACAGACTGAGCCACAAAATGGTAAAGATGAAGTCTCTAATAATGAAGCTTCTAAAGGAAGAGATATTAAAGAATTTGCAACAAAAAGTGAGAATGGACCAAATGAGGCAAAAAATAAAGACTTAAAGTTAAGCTTCATGGAAAAACTGAACTTAACTCTTTCTCCTGCTAAAAAGCAGCCTGTTTGTCATGATAACCAGCATCAAATAGCTGATGTTCCCAAGTCCAATGGTGTGTCTGATTCACCGTCGTTGGTGAAGACTAAAACAGTGGGATGTGTTCCTTTTGCAAGTGAACACAGTACAGAGGAAAACAAATCAAGGTTCTTAGAACCAAAGGATACTCATCCAGCAACATCTCAACTCAGGATTGATGTTCCAGAAAACGAAATGAAAGATGAAACTAGTTTGTTGGTTAAATCTGTTGAGGACACTACACCTTGTGAAGTGCTCATTTGTGGTGCAGAGCTTTCCTTCCCAGCACCTGTGGAAAGAGAGCAACCAAGATCCATGTTTCCATCAACAGAAGTAGAGGATTCCAGTGATGTCGTAAGGGCAGCAGCTTCTGTGGTGCTGGATGTATTACCAACCCATGTTTCTGAAAATGTTGGCTTAGAATTGGACACCAAAAGGCAGTGTGGATTGAATTCTTGTGATGTTTCTGAAGGTGTGGAAATGAAGGTGATTCTTTCACCAAAAGTGACTCAAACCAGTGAAAGCCTCCTGCAGCCTTTGGTTGAAGAACCTGGCATTTTAGTAAACCTTTCAGAAGACAGTAATCCCAAATTTGAGCCTTCTCTTGTAGAGACACCTATGGTTGAGAATAAATCTTGTCATTTGGAGCCTAAAGAAACTCTTGTATCTTCACTGCAGCAGACTGAGTTGATAGACCACACCATAGAAACTGGGGAAACAAACTCAATATATCATGATGATGATAACTCGGTTTTGAGCATTGACCTTAATCAGCTGAGGCCTATTCCAGAAGCTATCAGTCCTCTGAGTAGTCCAGTGAGACCTGTAGCAAAAGTTCTTAGAATGGAAGGCCCATCTGCAATTCCACTGTATAATAATAGCCATAAAGGTAAATATTTATCTTATGTTCTATACTCATCCTTTTGTGACACTGTAGACTACATAAGCAAAATAGATGGGTGTTTTGAGGTTCTTTTGGTTTTTACATTTTATTATTATTGTGTGTGTGTGTGTTTGTATGTGTGTGTGTGTGTGCATTATGTGGGTGTGTGTAGAAGTCAGAAGACAACTTTATGGATTGGTTCTCTCCATACACCTTTACATGGAATCTGAGGATTGATCTTAGGTTGCTGGGCTGGTACAACGAGCACCTTTACCCTGAGCTTTTTTTTTTTTTTTTTTTTTTTAAATGTGTATATGTAAGTGCCTGCATCTGTGTATGTGTATACAGGATATGTATATGTACCACATTTGTGCTTGGAGCCTATGGATGCTTGAAGAGAATGCTGGATCCTCTGGAACTAGAGTTATAGACCATTGTAAATTGCCATGTAGGTGCTGAGAACCTAATATAGGTCCTCTGCAAGAGCAGTAAATGCTCTTAACCACTGAGCCATCTTGTTGATAACAAAAAATAACGCCATTCAGATGTTGTTAGTTAGAAGTGTACACTGAGCCTTTAGTCTAAATTTACAAATTTAGGCAACTCTTAATTCTTTTTTTCCCTCTACTACTGAGAATTGAGCCCAGGGTCTCATTCATGCTAAATATGCACTCTCATTAAACTTCACCCCAACTCTTTAATTTTCTTTCTTTTTCTCCTTTCTTGTGTGAAGATAATATTGATGTATACATATGTTCTCGTGTGTGCACATTACTAGAAGCCAGAGGTTGAGTCTTCCTCAATTACTTTTTACTGGGTCTTTCACTGAACCCATACTTCACCAATTTGGCTAGTCTAGTTAGTCAACTTGCCCTATAGAACCCCTTGTCTCTGCCTCCCGAGCACTAGGATTGCAGGTGGGCTGTCATACCTGCCCAATTTTTATGTGGATGGTGGGAATCTGAAATCCAGTTCTCATACTTGGGTGGTAAGCCCTTTATTCACTGAGCCATATCCCCAACCCATCTCTTTTTTGTTTGTTTTTTCTTTTTTTGAGCCAGGTTTTTCCTGTATAGCTTAAGCTAACCTTGAACTAGTGATCCTTCTGCTTTAGCCTCCTGGGTATTGAAATTGTAGTTGTACCTTACCAAGCATAATTTAATTTTTTATCCAAAGAAAGGAGTGCTGAGTGGTGTTTCTTAATTGCTGAACCATCTCTCCAGTCCAGGACCAACTTCTTTAATACACAAAGAACTCTCAGCCAGGTACAGTGGCACATACCTTTAATCCTAGTATTCAGAAGGCAGAGGTAGGTGGATCTCTGTGTTCTAGGGAAGTTCTGGTCTTCGTATCAAGTTACAGGCCAGCCAGGGCTACATAGTAGGATTCTGGGGGGGTTTTGTGGGGGTTTTTTTGTTGTTGTTGTTTTGATTTTTAAAAAGGTGATTGGACAAATTCCCTGTTAAAAAATATTTTATTATGCCGGGTGTGGTAGCGCACGCCTTTAATCCCAGCACTCAGGAGGCAGAGGCAGGCAGATCTCTGTGAGTTCAAGGCCATCCTGGTTTACATAGTGAGTTCCAGGACAGCTGGGGCTACAGGGAGACCCTGTCTCAAAAGACCAATATATATATATATTATTTTATGTGTATGAGTATATTTATTGCCTGCATGTATATAAGTATACCCATGTCATGCAATGCTGGCAGAGGTCAGAAGAGGGTGTTGGATTCCCTTGGAACTGGAGTTGCTTGTTAGTCGCCATGTGGGTACTGGGAATTGAACCTGGGTCCTCTGCAAGAGCAGCCAGTGCTCATAACGGCTGAGCCATTTCTGCAGCCCCTGGACAGATTGTCTTTACTCATGTAGTCTACGTATATTTTTTAAAACTTATTTTATGGTTAGAGATTGGACCCGGAGCCTTGTGCATTCAAAGCATGTGGTCTACTACTGAACTCTGTTCCCAACTTCATATATATTTTTGTTGTTTAGACGCCATCATCAAATAGCATAGAGTAGGTGATTTTGTTAAAATGAAATAAAGATTATTGAAATGACAAAACTGCCTGTCAGACACCTGACCTTCTGAGACTTACTTTCTCAGTGCTGGGGTTCAACCCAAACATGCTAGGCAAGTGCTATACCACTGAGCCACACCTTCTGAATTCTTACCTTTGTAAGATAGAAGTAAAGGCAATGGAAATGATTAAGTATTAGGCATTAACATTTTGCTTTAAAAAGGAAAAGGTTATTACAATAATAGAATGCTTTGCTGTGTTTAGGACACAAACATAGCAATGACTAAGGCTAGTTATGTGATTTTAATATACTCTTTTCTTCCACAGATGAATTTCTGTCAAATTCAGCTCATTCTACCTCCAAGAATCAGTCTGATCTCAATAAAGAAAATCAAAAGCCAGTCCCCAAGTTTGAGAAATGTTCGGAAGTAGATTCTTGTAAGAATTCATCTTTAGATGAATTAGAAGAAGGGGAAATTAGAAGTGACAGTGAAGAATCTATATCACAAAAACATTTTGAAAAAAGTGCCAAACCTAGAGCTTCTGAAGTGCAGAAGAGTAAGGCTAATCCAGGAGACAGGAAAAATACTGTGCGTTTACATACAGACCACAGGAGACCTTCTGTGAAAACCCATCAGGACAACAGCAGGTGGAATAAAAGACCAAATGAGTCTGGTAGATCTTCAAAGGCAGAAAGGAAAAATAAAACAATGAGCATTTCTAGCTTGGAAAAAATACTTCCAATTATTCTTGTACCCTCTTCCGTATGGGAGATTATGCATATGTTACGGATGATAGGAAACCATGTAAGGAAAAATTATATGAAATTCAAGATAAAATTTTCATTGATACAATTTCATAGAATTATCGAGTCAGCAATTTTGAGTTTTACTTCACTAATTAAATACCTTGACTTATCCAAGATCTGTAAGTCAGTGACTGCATTACAGAAGAGTCTCTGTGAAGTTATAGAATCTAACCTTAAGCAAGTTAAGAAGAATGGCATAGTTGATCGTTTATTTGAACAGCAGCAACCAGATATGAAAAAAAAGTTGTGGAAGTTTGTAGATGAACAACTTGATTATTTGTTTGAAAAGCTTAAGAAAATCTTAGTAAAGTTTTGTGATTCTATAAACTTTGGAAATGACAATAGTGAAGGAAAACTTGGGAAAAAATATAAAGAGAGGCCACACTATTCAAACTGTCAGAAAAGGAATGTGGAGAATAACAAAGAAATGCAGAGAGAGAAACTGCTAAAATCAGAAGACACTGTAAATTTTACTTCTTCACTGGGATGTGGAAAAGCTGAAGGAAAACTTCAAGACCAAAATAACAGCAGTACTAACACAGTAAAGGAGGACATTAAAAAAAGTTTCAACTCTTGTTTTGATAATACAAAGAATTCTGAATCTAAAGAGCAGTCCCTGGAAATAAATTGTCCAAGCACCCCTACACCAGGAAAAAATGAAGGAAATACAATAGAGGACACACAGACTTTACAGCATGCAGTCTTGAAACCAGAACGTAGTTTTGAAATTCTTACTGAACAACAAGCATCTAGCCTCACTTTTAATTTAGTGAGTGATGCACAGATGGGTGAAATATTTAAAAGTTTGTTACAAGGTTCTGATCTTTTGGACAATAGTGTTACCTGTACTGAAAAAACGGAGTGGGAATTAAAGACACCAGAGAAACAGCTGCTTGAGAGTGAATCTGTACCAGCTTGTACAACAGAAGAACTGGTTTCAGAAGTGACTTCTCCGTGTCCTAAAGTGATTAGTGATGATAATTGGTCATTGTTATCATCTGATAAAGGGCCATCTCTGTCTTCAGGGCTTTCATTGCCAGTTCATCCTGATGTGTTAGATGAAAATTGTATGTTTGAAGTGTCTTCCAACATGGCTTTAAGTAAAGATAATGTATACAGTTCAGAAAAGAACAAGCCCTGCATTTCTTCCATACTCTTAGAGGATCTTGCAGTCTCTCTGACAGTACCATCACCCCTGAAGTCAGATGGTCATCTTAGTTTCTTAAAGCCCGAAGTTTCATCAAATTCAACCCCCGAAGAAGTTATTAGTGCACATTTTAGTGAAGATGCTTTACTTGAGGAAGAGGATGCATCTGAGCAAGATATCCATTTAGCTCTGGAATCTGATAATTCAAGCAGTAAGTCAAGTTGTTCGTCATGGACAAGCCGATCTGTTGCTCCAGGCTTTCAATACCATCCTAATCTGCCTATGCATGCTGTCATAATGGAAAAGTCCAATGATCATTTCATTGTGAAAATACGGCGTGCAGCACCATCTACCTCCCCTGGTCTTAAACACAGTATGACAGCTGAGGAGTCATTGACCTCTTTGCCTGGAGTTGGAAAGGAAGCTGATGAAGAAGTAGAAAAAGAACCTGTTTCCTGTCAGAGCACAGTTTTAAAATCTGTGGAGGACCTGGATAATTCCAACAAAAACGTTGAAAACAGCAAGTCAACTCATGAAGAAAAGAATTCTGTAATACAAACACAAGTTCCATATATATATGAATTTCTTAAAGATGCTTCAAGTAAGGTGGACCATTGTGATGAAGTGTCTGGTGATTGTTTCAAATTGCATCAAGTATGGGAACCAAAAGTTCCTGAAAATCTTGAATTGCCTTCAATGGAAAAAATCCCACACTCTGTTGAGGATCACCTTCCTAACACATATATAGACTTAACAAAAGATCCAGTCACTGAGACCAAACACTTGGGAGAACTCATAGAAGTAACAGTTTTAAATATTGATCATTTGGAGCGTTCTAGAACCAACTTAGATCAAACTGCTCAAATATTAGGTAATTCTTTACAGCCTGATACTATAGATGCTTTTATTGATTTGACACATGATGCTTCAAGTGAGAGTAAAAATGGAGGTAGTGATCCTGTGTTAGCCATTGAAGGCTTGGAATGCCAGGTAATATGTGTGGATGAAGATAACCTTAAGGAAGAAAAGATGCAAAGGGCAAACAGTCCTTTAGAATGCATGGGTGAGGAAACTTGTATTGATTTGACCCCAGAGTCTCCTGGTTCATGTGAAGTAAAAAGAGAGGCTTTAAAATCAGAGCCACCATCAAATTTGGATTGTTTAGAGTTGCCTGGGACTTTGGATAATGTTCACAAAAAGAGAAAAAACTGTTCTGAGCTTAATCATTTTTCTCAGAAAAAACAAAAAAAGGAAACAGACTTAACCAGTAGTGAAAAGAACAAGAAACTTAGTCAGGATTCTGATAAAAATGGTGAGGCTCAGAGAAAGAAAGCCAATAAGAAAAGGGAGCCTACAGTGAATGAAGCTCCCTTGTCATTGGAGACAAGCCTAGGGGTGAAGGATTCAGCAGCAGCACCTGCCACTTTTCCAACAAGCCTTTCTGCAAAGAATGTTATCAAAAAGAAAGGAGAGATTGTAGTTTCATGGACAAGGTAAGAATCTTCTGAGAGGTTTTAGTTATCAGGAAATTTTAAAAGGTTAGCAATCAATCTGACATTTCTTCAGAATTTTATCTCATCCTAAAATAAGGAAAGTGATGAATTACTTCTAAATTGGCCAAAGTTTACAATATATTGTGTAGTACAATCCAACTATGATGTAGAACAGTCTAGAATAATGGCTTTTAATGGGGTGTGAATGACCTCTCTTAGTATAGGTATTCATTGTGGGTTTTATTTGCGTTGGAGTTTTGTTTGTGTGTTTTATTATGTTTTGGGTTTTTGGGGGTTTTTTTTTGTTGTTGTTGTTGTTGTTGTTTTGTATTTTTGAAACCTTGTTAGTCCCAGCTGGCCTGAAATGATCTTACCAAGCTGGCCTTGATCTCATAGAGATCTACCTGCCTCTGCCTCAGGAGTGCTGGGACTAAAGGTGCCATCATGCCCAGCTGTTTGTTTTTGATGTAGTTCTGGCTGGCCTGGAACTCATTTTGTAAACCAGGCCAGTCTAAAATTCACTGAGATCCACCTGTCTGCCTCTCAAGTGCTAGGATTTTTGTTCAGCTTGTTTGGTTGGTTGGTTGGTTGGCTGGCTGGCTGGTTGGGTTTTTTGTTTGTTTGTTTGTTTGTTTGTTTGTTTGTTTTAAAGACAGGGTCTTAACTGTATAACACTGGCTGACTTGAAACTCAAAAAGACCGGCCTGCCTGTCTGCATGCACTGCCATACCCAACCAAGTTTTATGTGAATTCTTAAACTAGATTTTAAGAACCCACTAGGGGGTTTTATACACCATACTTGACGATAATGTTAAAGAAGCTGAATTTTGTTAAAGCTAGAGGTGTTTTGTTTAACATCACACTCCTCAGCTCTTCATTTTAGATCATCTTAGACTGTAATAACATAATTTAGACAATGTGGCAAAATCAAAAGTCTGGGAATTGAGACTAGTTATTTTAGTTCTATTTCTTCTGCTTCCTACAGCTATGTTGTGATCACCTCTTTGTTACTAGGGATTGAACCTAGGGCCTTGTGTATGTTAGGCAAGTGCTTTACTTTTGTTTTATGGATACAGTGTCTCACTAAATTACTCAGGCTGATCTTAAACTCGCTCCATAGGCCACCATAGGTCAGGCTGTAGGGGCCTTATATTTTAAGTAGCTAGCCTGGTGGCACATGCCTTAAGCACTTGAGAGGCAATGACAGGTGAGTTGGAGGCCACCAGGGCTTTGTAGTAAGACCCTGTTTCAGTAAATAAATATTTTAAGTAGCATATATATTAAAAAGTAGAATTAAAACTTAATTTTTCTCAGTAGAAAAATGAGTTGGAGCTAGGCATGATGTTAGATATTAAGGCCGTGGATTTTATTATTGTTCTAGTGCATAAAAGCTAAATGACAATTTTTCCCTCCTCAGAAATGATGACCGGGAAATTTTACTAGAGTGTCAGAAAAGAATGCCATCCCTGAAAACATTTACATATTTAGCTATCAAGTTGAATAAAAATCCAAATCAGGTAATTACCCAAGGTTTGTATCTTTATGGGCTTACAGATGTTGCTATTTGTTTATTTATTTATTTATTTGCTTGTCTAATTTTGTTGTCCTGTGGATTGAACCCAGAGCCATATGAATGCCAGGCAAAAATTCTACCATTGAGCTATGTCTTCAGCCCCAGACATATTTTTATTTTATGTATATAAGTGTATCACCTGCATGTATGTGAGTGCACTCGTGTTGTGTAATGCCACAGAGGTCAGAAGAGGGCTTCGGATTCCCCTGGAACTGGAGTTAAGGATGGTTCGTAGCCACCATGTGGGTGCTGGGAATTGAACCTAGGTCCTCTGCAAGAACAGTCAGTGCTCTTAACAACTGCTGAGCCATCTCTCCAGCGCCAAATTTTAACATCTTAAACCACAAAGATATTTATTGGCTAACTTGATTAAAAATATGGCTTCATGTAAGACTGTTAAATTTGATAATTGTTAAGAAATAATGAAAATGATCCTGATTTTTTTTTTTCCCATCACTTATAATATACTTATTTCATTTCAGGGAATTTGGTAGTGATGTTTCCTTGTTAAATAATATTCATTATTGAAAAGTTAAAACAACCTAAGTATGAAACTTTTTCATTTTTCTGTCATTTCATTTTTATGTTTCATGACAGAGTCTCATGTAGCTCAGACTTAATCTCAGATTTGCTATGTAGCCAAGGATGACCTTAAATTTTTGATCCTCCTGTCTCCATCTAAGGAGTCCTAGGATTACAGGCATACATCATGCCTAGTTTATGCAGTAATAGGGATTGAACTTGATAACTTGTACATGCTAGGCGCTCTACTAGCTGAACTATGACTTCAACCCTAAAGATGTTTTATTTTAACTCTTTATTATTAAGGGTAACTTCTATCTGTAGATGTTTTGTGAAAGTATTCATCAAAGCTAAAAGAAAAAAAAATTATTTATGATCATTTTAATTTTTCAGGTTTCAGAGAGATTCCAGCAGCTAAAGAAGCTCTTTGAGAAGTCAAAATGCAGGTATTTAAAAAAAATCACAGGAGGCTGACATAGTAAATTTTAGATTCTGTCATTGTGTGGTTAATGGCCTATTAGTCACTGCAAAGCTGAGTATGGGTGGAAGACATCAGTTGAAGGTCCTGCTTTAGTCAGAGTTGGAAGATGACTGCAGTACCTAATGTTATGGCTATGGTAGAGTAAGCTACTGCAATTCAGAGCAGTGTGTATCTCTGCTCACTTTAGTGGTTGCTGATGACTCTAATGTGGGATATCCATTTGATGATTAACAAAATACTTTTTTTTACTCTTTTGTTTTATTACTATTACTATTTTTATTTTATGTGTATGTGTGTATTGCCTGCATGTAGGTAAGTGCACCTGTGTCGTGCAAGGCCCATGGAGGTCAGAAGAGGCTGTCGGATCCCCTGGGACTGCAGTTACAGACAGTTAGCTGCTATGTGGGTGCTGGGATTTGAACCTGGGTCTTCTGCAAGAACACCAGTGTTCTTTACTGCTGAGCCATCTCTCCAGCCCAACAAAACATTTTTAATTAGTTAACTTATTTTTTTTCATTGCTGCTGGGGATCAAACCCAGTACCTTGTATATACTAGACAGCCACTCTATCACTAAGCTACAACCCAGCCCCAAAACAGATGAAGAATAAAAAAGGTATAGCAGGACCTGAAAAGATGGTTCAGCAGTTAAGAGCACTGGCTACTGTCTTAACTGATTTTTCCCAAATACAGTAGTCACACTAAATTCTTAGGGGAAAAAAAAATCAGTGTATTAGTAATTAGCAAACTGACTCTGTACAAACTAGTTCTTTAACACCAACATTATCTAAGTATAGCTGATTTAGATGTTAACTCTTAAGAAAATGGGTTTATCAGACAAACAATGATAACTTCAGTGTCTTCTTATGTTACAGATAAGTTGCTGGATTCCATGGAGTTTCATTGATACATCATTCTGCACAGAAACTTTGATTCCTCATGTTTTAGATGGGGATCTAGAAGGAATTTTGTCTCGTTTTTTAGTAGATAGTAATCTGTATTTTCTTACTCATCTGGTCAGCATTCTGAGTGTGTTGGGGTCAATAATCTGATTAGCTTTCCTGTTACTCATCAAAATATTTATTTTTAAACATTAGATACTGTCAAAATAAGCCGGGTGTTGGTGGCACATGCCTTTAATCCCAGCACTCAGGAGGCAGAGGCAGGCAGATCTCTGAGCTACATAGTTCCAGGCCAGCTGGGGCTACAAGGGAGACCCTGTCTCAGACCAAAAAAAGAAAAGAAAAAAGAAAGAATACAAGTAATATGGATATAATATTGGAACCTTAGTTTTGGTATTTCAATAAAATAACTTCTAGATTTTTAAAAAATAGTTTTGTAAGCTGGGTGTGGTGGTGCATGCCTGTAGTCCCAGCACTTGGGAGGCAGAGGCAGGCGGATCTGTGTGAGTTCAAGGCCAGCCTGGTCTACATGGTGAGCTCCAGGCCAGCTGGGGCTACAGGGAAACCCTGTTTCAAAAAAAAAAATAGTTTTGTAGCATTTTAAATGTAATGACTATTTGGTTAACCTTTTCTTTCATTTTTATTTGTTTTGATAATTGCCTCATTTTGGAAAACTGTAAGATAATTTAAATCGTATACTTGTAAATATGTGTAATTATATTGATGTAAAATACTGTGAGTGTATGTGTCTGTATGTACACACATAAATCGCTTTGCTAGCCAAGGATATTTTTATCTGTATAAAATATTTTGTATAAAGTTTGCTGTCAATAAGTCATGTATAATAAAAACATGTAAAGTTCTGTTTTATTTTTATTAGACTTTCTTTTATTGTGTTTAGGTAATTTTAAAAAAGGTAAAACTTCAAAGGAGATGGGGAGTATTTGAAGTGTTTCAGGATGATAGTGCAGCTGACCCAGTTAAGAATTTTTGATCCTCCTGCCTCAGCCTCCCAAACACTAGATTAGTGGCATTACTAGATCACCTGCTTTCTCCCAGCATACACTGGTACAATAAACCCTGCTTCTTCTGCAGGTGTCCTCACAAATAAAATTCAGGCAGCACAAAAAAAGAATATTTGGAAAAAACTGGTGCAAAGAATGATCAGCCTGGGATCCTCGCTCTAGCCTCAGAAGAATGGTGGTTTATAATCAAGTCCTTAGCTGCCAAGTTGTACTTTTCCCATTGCTGTTTCTCCCAGAATATCCAAAGAGGAAGCCCTAATCTAGAAAACTTGAAGAATTAACTGATTTTGTGTTGTGAGAGATCTCCATTCTGTAACTTGGACCCTTTTTCTCTGAACATCCAACATAAGTAGAGGCCTGGCCACTAGTCATTCTACAGTGCATCCTGTAACCCTCTGGTGGTTAAGAGTTCTTGCTCTTCTGGCAGAGGACCTGGGTTGAGTTTCCAGTGCCTATGTGGCAGCTCACAACCATCCATAACTCCACTTCCAGCATATTTGATGTCCTCTTTGGCCTCCACAGGTACCAGGCATACAGGTGGGGCACTATATACATGCAGATAAAACACTCAAAAGAAAATTTTAAGCAAAAAAACAGGGAAGATGTAAATCTAGAATTTTATAATTTGTGTGTGTGTGTGTGCATGCATGTGTATGCATGATGCATGTGCCATGGTACATAGGTGGAGGTCAGAGGACAGTTTTCTGCAGTCAGTTTTCTCCTTCCACCATGTAGGTCCTGGAAATTGAACTCAGGTTGTCAGATGTGACAAAAAGCCTTTTACTGGATGAACCATCTCACTGGCTCCCTCCCTTTTAAAGAATGCATGTGTGTATGTGTGTGCGTGTGTGCACGTACGCATGCACCAAAGGAGGCCAAAAGACAGTGTTGGATTCCCTGGAGCTGGAATCACAGGAGGTTGTGACCTGCCTAGTGTGGGTACTGGGAACCACACTCGGGGGGGTGGGGGGATCCTCAGGAAGAGCAAGAAGCACTCTTAATCACTGAGCTATCTCTCCAGCCAACCCCATTCCTGCCTTTTAAAAACTTGATTTTTCTATTTTGGTTTTTGAGACAGGATCTCACTGTGTATACCAGTGTACACCAGGCTGGCCTGGAACTCAGAGATCCATCTGCCTCTACCTCCCAAGTGCTGGGATTAAAGGCATGTGCTACTTAATGATTTTTTAAAAATCGTGTGTGTATAGGCCCCAGTGTAAAGGTCAGAAGACAACTTGTAAGAGTTGGTCCTCCTCTCCACCATGTGGGTCTGAGAGATCCAACTCAGGTTGTCAGGCTTGGTGGTAAGTGCCTTACCTACTGAGCCATCTCGCCAACCCTAGAATTTTTTTTTTTTTTGCAAAAATATTGAGAATTTTATACATGCACATAAGGTGTTTTGATCAAATCCATGCCCACTCCTTCCCCTCCATCATCCCTCCCTCTGGAAAGGTAACCCTAAAATCTTATAAGGATTAGTTACAAGCTCCCAAATACTTTTGACAATTTTTGGCCTTGGAACACAGTATGTTGTTAACAGGCCCAAGGACATTTTGACTTTTGGCCAAGAAACTGACTACATTCTTTGGGCCCTTTTTACTCTTAACTGCCTAGCCAATTCCTACCTCCTAGTCTTATCACGCTATCCTCTGAAGGGGTTATCCAAATTGTCAATAGGGAATAGGGACACCGGCTGCTCTGGCTTCTTCCATGCAGGTGAGAGGCAATTGGAGTACCCCTTCAAGTGGGTGTATCTAAAAGACTCCCAAATTGCATAACTTTTGTCTCTAAGGGGAGAAGAAAGTCCTTGAATCATGAATAGATGTGAAGGAGAAGTAAAGGCAAGAGTAATTAGCATTACAAGTTCTAGACAGGGAAGTAGGAAAAAGCTAGAATAGGGCAATTTTCAAATGTTCATATGAGAATCCATTGGAATTTCTTGACAAGGGCTCCCCAAAGCATCCCTCTATTGGGTTCTTATTTTTCTTTTGTCTTCCAAGGCTGGACTGGTTGGCTGGGAAGAGTGGCTGGATATTCAGGTCAGGGTCCAGTGACCCTGCTTGGCACTCCTTTAATGAATGAGCACAACTGTCAACAAGCCTTGTGACTATGTTTCGGGCTCAGCTGAAGTTGTGATGATGGTAGTTATTTCATGCAGAAGGGACTGCTGTATAGCATCATCTTATTAAAAGGACCTGGAATTGAAAAGGATTTGGTGCTAGGATCCACATATGAGGGAGAACGTCATCTGTTTTTCTGAGTCTGTGTTACTTCACTTAGTATAAGTCTCTAGATCCATCCATTTACCTGCAAATTTCATTTTTTCATCTTTACCGCTGAATAGAACTCCATTGTGCAAATATACCACATTTTTCTTAACCACTCATCAGTTGAGGGGGACTTAGGTTGCTTCCATCTCTTAGCGATTGTGAAAAGAGCAACAACAAACATGGTTGTACAAGTGTCTCTACATTAGGATGCGTTCTTTGGGTATATGCCAAGGAATGGTATAACTGGGTCATATGGTAGGTTCATTTTTAGTTTTTTAAGAGTTCTCCACACTA